GAAATTCTAGCAGTTTAAATTGGCTATATTCAGCAAAGAATGAAATAGCAGCACATCAAGATCATTTCCATGTGCAGTGCTGTCAAAATCTTCATCAGGGAGCAAGCCAAAAGCATCTGACAGGGTTTCTCTAACCACATTTACAGCATTATATTTTATTTCAGTTGAGGGTTTGAAGTTTTCATTTTGTCAACTACTCATTCTCTTTTTTTCACTTAAAGTTTCTATGGAAAAAAGAATTCAAAACTTCAAGTTTCCAATTTTTTAAGTCTATTGGTTTGGGTAGCTTCTTTAAGGAGCATTTGGGTATTGTGCTTTTAGCCTCCATCTAAAGTCTACCTGTATCTCCTGAATTTGATTCACTTTTCTATGTTAAACATTAAAATTGGATATATATATTTTTTCTATTTAAAGCTACTTTTCCCCTTGTTGGATTAAAACTTAGTTATAAACATCTACACCCATACACTTTAATTTCAAAAAAGGAAAATGTTTACGTATCAATGGAGGGAGAAGAGTTGCATAAAAATCTCACGTTGTTAAAAATCATTTAATTAGAGGTATTAGTATTTTCAAAAACGTTAGAGAACTCAAAAAATACAAAATTAGGGGTAATAAAAATTTTACATTCTTTCTGGTTTCTCATTAAGAAAACAGTTGTAAATACAGTCTGAAAATCCATCCCTCACTATAAGTTAGTAAAGTTAAGGTTAGCAAAATAGACTAGAAACATGAAATCAATGCCTTATGTCTTTTTTTTTCTATACTAAAAGGTAAATTACACACACACACAAAATGTTGTGCTATATAGAAATCTAAAGAAAGAAAAACAAACATATTCCTGGAAAATTAAGGTTTTAGGAATTAGGTAAACCCAACTGCAAACAAAATGGCCTCTCTTCTACATAATCCAGACTATAATCCACACCCGGGATATACTAAACAGAACTGGATTTGAAAAGAACTATTAAAATAACAGTGGCAAGATAAAGAAGATTACTATTAGAAATTTTTAGTCTTATGAAGAAAAGATGAAAGCTGAGATGAAAGTTCTTATAACGGTGAGAAATATTTTTTTTTTTAAAGGTAAACAATATATGTTCACTAAATCCCAGGATACTAGAGTTTGTAGGTATTCTTTGATTCAAATAAAGGCAATTCTTTATTTGGTAAGTTTCAAGAAATTTGTTATGCTTGAGAAATAGTACAAGTTGAGTAACAGAAATAGCTTTAAAAAAAAAATACCCATAGATGCACATTCATAAGGGATCTATTGTCTTAATCTCTACAGCTGATACTAGCAAAGAGATTATAATTATGCAGTTTGGCAAAAAGAGTGCTGCTTCTGAAATTGCCGCTTTTAAAATATTTATTTTTTGAAATTGTCTTTTTACTACAACTTCTGCTTGCTTTTATGTGAACTTACCTATTCATTTAATGGAATCAAAAAAGCATTTGTTTCTAAAGTTTTTAATGAAAGTCTGGCAATATTTATCAAAATAAGTACATACGCACCTCTTACAGGAATTTATCCCAGTGCCTATATCAGCACATGTATAAAAAAGATGCTCATTGATTATAATAGTAAAAGAATGGAAACAACTTAAATAAATATCAATAAGGTCAATTAATTGGTTCTACAAACACATCCTCAAAGGTTCAGATTCAAAAGGCTGGGCTAAGAGTGCAAAATCAGTATTTTTTAAAAGCTCCAGAGTCTGATGAATCAGCAAGGTAAGCTTGAAGATGATGATGGCAAGAGACAAGAGTCACCAGAAAATTAGGGGGAAAACAAGGAGAGTGAGATATCTCTATAGTTAAGAACTCAATGATGATGTTGAGGAGCACTAGTGAGGGTGGAAGCCTGATTAGAGTGGGATGTGCAATGAAGAAAAGGTTTTTTATACAGTTTTTAAAAAATATTCTCCTAATCTATTTTTTGATTGGGGAATTTAATCCGTTTAAAGTAATTATTGATAGGGAAGGACTTACTATTGCCATCTTGTTGTTTTCTGCATGTCTTATAGTTTTTTTATATGTCATTTCCTCCTAACAAGCATATATAAGTCTTTAAAGAAGTCTAAATACAAATGAGCAGAGTAAGAAAGTAACTAGGAGAGAACCTGAAGTCCAGGGATTAAGAAGGGAAAAACGAGCACCTTTAAATACAGGCATACTTCAGATGCTAGTGTGGGTTTGGTTCCAGACCACTGCAATAAAGCAATATTGCAATAAAGTGAGTTGTCATCTTTTTGCAGGGTCTTGTCATCAATTTGTAAAAACATAACACCTGTGAAGTGCAATAAAATGAGGTATGCCTGTACTGATTGAGAGCGAAAAAAGATACAGGAGAGGAAATGCTAAGATAGAAAGAGTACTGAGAAGGCAGGGAAAGATGGGGTTCCATTCAGTGTAGAGGCTGGAAATACATTCCTTCCATTGCAAAAGGAATGGAGAAAGGATGAAAGTAAATGTTGAACTCCCCTAAGGGAGCTTCCTAATTCCTCATTTGGTATATTTACACTCCCTTCTAGTAAACTTGTTTACTTGGTTTTAAGATTCATCCACAATAGAGTAGAAACAGCCAATCACAAAGAACAGCTGTTATAGGTAGGCAAGCAGTGAGAAGGGAAAATTATAACTTAATAGCTATTTTCATACAAAAGAAGAAAAAAATCTCCAGCAATTCAGCAGTATCTACTAATATACAAAATGTATATACTACTTGACCAAACAATTCAATTTATATGAATTTATCTCATAGAAATTACAAAAAGTTCATCAATGTATTGTTCGTAATTTCAAAAAAAGGAATACATTTTGCAGCATGAAACCAGCTAAATTAATTAAAAAGTACATCTATATAATGAAGTAATATGCAACAATTAAGACTGAGCTATATGCAGAGGCATGAAAAGACATAAAATATTATTTTAAGTGAAAAAAATAAACTGCAGGACTGTTTTATAGTATTTATAGTATTTATAATATAATCCCATTTTCTTTCAATATATGTGTGGAAAAGTCTGAAAATATATATAACAAAGAGTGGTCAGCATTAGGTATTGAGTTATTCTTTTTTCTAATTTTCACATTTCTAATACTTTGAAAGTTTAATGGTGGATACAGACATAAAACTTCAACTATCATAAAAATAACCAAATATGGAAATAGATAACCAAATAAATATATTACCTGTTAGATAAAATACACAGTTCTTTTAAACTTGGAGCCATGGAATGATCTTTATAATTTTCCCGAGAGAAAAACGTCTTTAGGCCATTTTTTGAGGAAACATCCCTGTGAAGCAAAGTAATTTACTTGCATTTGACAATTCAAAATCTCATGTTAGATTAATCCTTGCTTTTCCTTTAGCATCGAATTAAATATCAGAGATACTAGAGAGTTAAAGATAGAACAGATTAAAGGGTCTGTCAAGAGCAGGGCTCACCTTTGGCTCTGGGCATAACATTAAGATGTTTGGTTATTGACAGAATATGCTTCTCAATTTACTTTTGTTTCATGCACCACTATGTCAGGACAAAAGACACTACAAAGACTGCATATCCTATTTAATTAACTTGACAAATGTGATAAATGGCGTGTTTCTACTAAAATCACTTCTAAGATCAAATACAATTTTCCATAACATAAATAATAGAAACTAACATATTATAATCAATGCTTTCCAGATAGTAAACATACAATAAATGCTGGTTGAATGAAAAAATTTAAAAACTAAAAACACTGAGGACTATTAATCTAGGAAGACAAAGATAAGTAGGATTCTGTGGAAAAGGATAGTTCCAGGGCTACAATACTGTACAAAGGCCCTAAACCACATTTGGTTTCACAATGTCACAATGTCGATGGTATATAAGAGCATCTGTGCTGCTTGTGCACACTTTATGGCAAGGAGCATAAATGTGTATACCCCTAATCAAATGGCAACTTCTGGCTGGCGCGTTCCCAAATTGGGAAATTCTAATATATTTGCTCCATACTCATTTCTTACTCTTTTTAAAGGCATTTATTCAAAAAAAAAAACGATTAAGTTATAAATGGTAAAATTAGAATGTCTTGCTTGCTATACACCAGTGTAGTTATTACTTCTTATAGCACTATATTTGTAACATCTCATGTTTTAAGTGTTTTGCACATCTTAAAGTCATGCGCCTCAGGGACTGTGAGCTCTTTGGAGGAAGGAAGCATTGTTTGGAATAAACAAATACTTACTGAGCACATACAGACTGAATCTTGAGTCAGGTACTATTTTAATCATCTTAATAATCTCATAACTTCTGCATTCTCTTTGGCTAGCAAAGAGTAGATGCTCAGTAAACGTGATAAAGTAATCTAAAGTAGAACATGTATTAGATCTCTACAAAGCCTCTTATGTTACTTAACAAAGTACTCTACTTGTGAAGTTCTCATACACTTCTAAAATATGGTCTATGCATTTATATTATCACTTGATATAGATTCCAACATAACAAAAAGCAGCTTGTCTATTTTTAAAGGGAGTCTTTTGTTACTTGTACAGAAATGGGCAAGGTTCTTGGAAACATGAAAATTCCAGCGTCTCTCCTTCACTAAAACACCAACAATAAGGACACGATGAAATTATACCTAGTAGCAATCTGAATAGTGAAATGCTGTCACTTTAGGAGAAGTGTAGTCAGCTATAATCCAAAAGTCTTCCATCAAAAGATGAGAATAGGGTAAAATCTCAGCCACTGAACTTAGTATCTTTTCTTTCCTCCAAATTTCTCCAGATCATAAACTCTTCTTTCCTAATTCAGCCCAGTCCCACTTCAATTTTCTTCAGGTGATTATAAACAAATGTAACTCACCAGTTCAGCCTTGGTTCACTCATGGCCATTCCAGAGCTCATATTCTTAGATTTCTGCTTTACTCTAGCTCACAATTCTGCTGCCTGGCAGTGCAGGCTCCAGCAGCTGTAGCAGGATTTCTCCAGAATCAACATTCACCTGAGGAAAAACAAAAGGTCAACATTAAAAACAGGTGACTGGCTGGGCCAGGTGCTGTTAACTCATGTGAAGAAGAACCTGTTCCTAACACCTACCATCAACTGACGCGGACACCTGAAACAACAGATCAGACAGATGAATGCTTCCACGGTATTTTTTGTAGAATATCAATGATGATGTAGGGTAAGTCCTTTTCCACTTAACGTACTCCAGGAATGTCACCCTCAAAACACTGCGAAATGAGCAGAAACAGAATGGTGTTCTCATTACTAACCAACTACATCACTTTATGCCATGGAGCTGTATGTCTCAGCTCTCCCCCACTCCCTTACCTCCAAAATAAATCTTGCTTCCATTTTCCTCATGATACACTGTTATGGTGAAGATTCTGGCAAACAATGTAAGCCAAAAGCTTCCTGATATCAAAAGTCTTTCATAGACTTTCAAAGAGAACCTCATTTTTGAGGAGACGGAGGTCCAGGCAACTTAAAGGACATTTTACAAGATCACTTAGAGGAATCACCAAGGCTACAAGTCTGGCTTGACCACTCCATGTTCGGTGTTTCTCCTGCAACCCCAGGAGGAATGATAAAATCTATGTGAGAAAATGATAAATTTAGAAGCTGATCTTGGGCCACAGGACAGGCCTGATCAGCTCACACTTAATCCAGTTCTCACTTTGACCCAGTGTGAAGTTAGGGCAGGAGAGTCGATGAAGGTAAAAGATGCGGCTGAGGGGAAAAAGGACTGAAGGGGAAGAGAAACAGGGTTCCAGGAAGGCAGGTAAAGGGGCGAGCTAAGCCGTGGGCGGGGGCCGCACCACAACCAGCAGCTCAGGGTCCTGGCCTGGTTGAGGGCGCCGCCATGTTCCTTCCTCCCGCCCCTCACGAGCACGCCCTTCTGCAAGGCAGCACCCCTTCTTCCGCGTCGCAGCTGCAAAGCAGTCTGGCCGCCCACCTCGCAGTCTGCAGCAGCTCTGCCCTGGGCCGCGTCCCCACTCCACACACTGCGGTGCACGCTCTGGGAAGCCCTTATTTAAAGGACGTGGCTGCGCCGCCTCGGCACTGCGTGATGACGTCACCAGGGACGTAGCGGGCGGGGCCCTTCGACTCCAAAGGGCCGCTTCCCAGCCTGCGTGCTCCGTGTAGTTTGTCTCGGAACTGTCAGATCGGGCTTGGGATTTGCCGTATAGAACGGGCTGGGGGCATGTTGTCCTAAAAAGTCCTTCACCTCGCGGAGGATCGTAAATTGGGAGGAGGACCGGCGATAAGTACAGTCCTGGAAAGACCGAAACAGACTCATTTTGTGACCTTAGCCCATTATCTTAACTTCCCTAACCCTGACACCTGTTCAGTAAAATGGAGTTACTTCCTTAGTTGAATTTTTGAAAGGATATAATGAAATAAGGGATGAACTATGTTCAACCCAGTACCTGGAGGAATAACTCCTCCACTCCATCCCCATCTTGTTTTAGATGTCAGTTTTCACCTGGCTCTCTGGCTCTCACACACGGTTGTTTGTTTGTTTGTTTGTTTGTTTTTGGTTCTGTTTTTTCCCCCCTCATTCATTAAGGAAAGATTTATTGAGCATTTATAATTCGTGCTTGTTGTTGGGTATATGTAGGACTAAGAACAAATACTGGTTTTTCCAAGAGCTTTTGATTGTTGGGAATCTAAGACATTCACATTAAATAATTATAAAAAGTAGTGATTAGCTACATAAGAGGTATATAGTAGAGAGTACAGAGAGATAGAGAGTTACGAGTGAGAGTAACAAAAAGCAGCTTTGAATAGCTAAAGACTTCTACTGAATGTATGTCAGTTACCACATTGGGTACTTGACATGTCAGCTCATTTGAAGAATTTGAAGTATGAAGATGATGGGAAAGGGCATTCTAGACAGAGACCAGCACAAGGAACTACATAAATTCGTTGCACGAACAGAGTCCAGTTTGTGTGCTATCAGGAAGATGTGTTCTAAATTTCAGAATGATTTATGATTTTTAAAATTATGTTAACATAAACATTCTACTTGTTAAAAATCTCTCTTGAATATAAGGACCCGTAGGTAGTTTATTTTGCCTGGAATGCAAGGTTTATGAAGAATAGTAGAAGAAAAGAGTTTGGAAAAATAGCTTGAGGCCAGAGCGCAGAAGACTAAAAGCTGGACCAGGGATTTTAACTTTACTGTATAAGAAATGGAAAGCGGAGGATGGGGGTGGTGGTGGGGAGCTTATAAGCAGAGGAATGACACAATCAGAGCTATGTTTCAGCAAAGCTTATCTGGCAAGGTGTTGAATACGTTGTAAAGAAGAGATCAGTTAGGAAACAGTGCTTGTAAATGCTTGCAGATCAATTGGTACAATGTCTAGCAGTGTGCAGGCAGCCTTTCTTATAGGTGAGTGATATTGATGGCCTGTGCTAGGACAGAGATGGACATCAACGCAGTGTAGAAGTTCATGTGTTGGGTACTATCTCGCAAACTATGCAGTCAAAGAGACTTGGGAATCTTTGGCAACTGCTCAAGGACTACTCAAGAATTGTTTAAGCATTAATGCTGCTGGGATGCACCAGCCCACAGTAGTGTGCTATGGTAACATCACTGGATGTAGCCTGTGTTGAGATTCCAGATTCTCATCCAGCAGTATGCTCTGGTTTGGTGTATCTTGAGTTCCGGTGGCTATGAGATAGCACACAAAATAAAAAATTTTAGAGCCAGAAGGAACTTTGGAGATTATCTAGTCCAACCTTCTTATTTTCCTGTTAAGGAAACTGAGGCCCAGATTGTCAAGTGACTTTTCCAACATTGCATGATCAGTGATAAAGCTTTATCAGTGATAAAGCCGATACTAAAAATCAGTGATAAAGCCGATACTAAAAATCAGGTCTCATAACTTTTGCTATTACAACACATTAAATATATGCATCATTTTTTCTTTGCGCTCTGCTTTGTAAAACAGAAGCAATTTAGTGAAAACTACATGGATTTTTGGAGTCCAGCATATATGGGTTTGTATCTCAGATTCCTGCTTACTGGCAGTGTGATCCTAGACATGTGTTTCCTCTTTGAGCCTCAGTTTCACCATCTGGGTAATGGAAACAGTAATAGCTCACCTACAGGATTGTTGTGAAGATTATAAGTAAAAGAGTAAATATGGAAAAGTAAATGTTCAATAAATGGTAGCTATTAGTATAAACTTTTTCTGTCAAAAAAAAATCCACAACATAGTGGAGGTGGCACTGTAAACAAATGGTTATAGTACAAATAAGAAATGATATATACATACATACATATTATAGAAGATTCTATGGGAACACAACAAAGAAAGAAGTCATTCTGACTGCGACACTTAGAGACTATTTCAGAAAAATTTAATTTACATTCAGTCTTGAAGGATAAGTAGGAGTTCACTGGGTAGAGAAGCTGTTCTGGATATTCAGGTGTGAAAAATCACAGAAGTGTGAAACCGCTTTTTTTTTTTGCTGCATATTCTGGTGAAAGGGAAAGCTACTGCTTTATTGTGTGTGTGTGTGTTGGGGGGGTGGGCAGAGAATGAAGGTCACTGGACTGAAAGGGGTAGAGGGGCTACAGAGGGTCTTCATGCCATGCTAGATAATATGTACTTTTGGATTTTATCCTCTGGTGGTGAGAAATCCAATGTATGTAACAGTTTTATTGATCTGTAACCTACCTACCATAAAATTCACCCATTTCAGTTGTACCATTCAGTGATTTTTAGTAAATGTATGGAGTTTTGCAACCATCGACATTACCAAGTTTAGAATATTTCCATTACCCTGGAAAATCCTTTCTGCCCATTTGCAGTCAATCCTTCCAACTCCCAGCCCCAGGCAAACACTAACCTACTTTCTGTCTCTATAGGTTTGCCTTTTCCGGACATTTAAAATAAATTAAATCATACAGTATACAGTATAAATCAAATTATAGAGTATAGTCTTTTGCATCTGGATTCTTTTTCTTAGCAGAATATTTTTGAGGATCATCCATGTCGTAGTAAGTGTTAATAGTTGTTTTGTAGCAACTATTTGTGGTAGCTCATTTGTGGATATGCCCCATTATGTCAAATGTTTTATCCATTTGACAGTTGATGGACATTAGATGGTTTCCACTTTTTGGCCATTATGAGTAATGCTGATATGAACATTAGTGTACAAGTCTTTGTATGAACTTTGTGTTTTCATTTTTCTAGGGTAGATATCTAGGAGTGGAATTGTTGAGTTGTATTGTAAATTTATGTTTAACTTTTAAAGGCACTGCCAAACTGTTTTCCAAAGTGATTGTACCATTTTATTCTTTGGATTCTTAAGCAGGGGAAAGGTTGGGTTTTCCATTTCTGCTAAACTGAGAAACAAACTCAGAAGTTGAATGAAAATCCAATTTCAGTTTGAAGGATTTTGTATTTTGAGTTTGTAAAATGTTTCATCAGATCTGAATTTCAAAAAGAACATTTAAAACTGCAGGCACCTGGTTAAGTGATCATAGTTGTTATGAGGTGTGTATTTCTTCTTAAAGACAAAATCAAGACAGAGAAATATGCAAGATCATCTGCCTCTCAGCATAACAGCAGCTACCCTCCGCAGCACATGAAGATGGCTTTGCCTTTTCCTCTGAAAAGGAGAGGCCTGCTCTGCATGGGTCCATTTGATCCAAATGCACATTAGAAGTAGAAGTCTGATTTTGAGAAGCTAGTCTGTTTGATCTTGCCCCATGAAACAAAGCCTAGTAGTAACAGTAGCAACTAAGACATATGTGTGGTCAGGTCTTACTGACTTGTCTATGATTATTACTTTGGCTTTCTCTCCAAAAGTTTAATAATAACCTGACACTTGTTTTCCTTTCTAATTCTGCCATGAAATCATTATAAACAGAAATGTAAGATGTCCCTCTTATACTCTCATTTAAGTACCCATCTTGAAGTGGAGCAAGCTAATCCACAATGAAGAGGTGAGTGTAAACCATTTGTTTTATCAGAAGGAGCTTAGGCATGAGCTTGGCCAAAGGCCTAGAGGTGACAGATTTCATATTTTGAACTCCACGATTTCCATTAACTCTCAATTTCCCGAGATACCAGAAGGTGTTAAATATTTATAATTACATAGAATTTGACAGTTCATAAATATTTCACATGCATGTCATTCTTCCTTTTCTCCAAGATAGTTCGAAATAAAAACAGGATTAGGGACTGTTACATTTGGCAATTTTCAGGATCAATTCAATTATTTATTTTACTGAGCGCAAGAGATGCTTAGGTATTGCAGTATGAGTGTATGGAAGAAAATGCCAACTTCGTTGCCTTTATTCTGACTTCAGAATATTTTATAATTTGAATGTCCTTGATATGACTTTAAAAATAATTTATGGTAAGGTTTTTGCACTGTTATAATAGTGTGATACTTAAATTTACTGGTTCACTCCTACATAATCTACTCAAGAGAAGGGGCAGAGTTGGGGTAGAGCAATGCTAACCCAGGTAAAGTTGGATTTTTTAGTCTTCAGCATCATTAAAGTCTTTGGCATCATTTCTGATGTTCTATTTTAACGATTGCCAAAGCAAAGATGACAAAGTATTGTAGGCTTTGAGAACTGCTCCCCTCCTATGCTCAAGGCAGATATCATTATTCAGTCATGACTCCCTTCTCCTTCGAGACAGGAAGTAGTCTCAGAAGCCTCAATTCTGCATTTTTGGCAGCTACTACCAATCAACAGACATTATCTCACAAATTAAAACTTCATTTTTTGCCTTCTCTGATCATAAGGGTAGCTTGATCCTTATATAGGTTTTTCCCTTGCAAAATGGAAATAAATTTTTTTAAAGAGTACTACAGACCAGTGCTTCTCACACTTTAATATGCAAACCAATCAGCTGAGGATGTTATAAAAATGCAGACTCTGATTTAGTGGTTTTGAAGTGGTACCTGGGATTCTGCATTTCTAATAAGGTCAAGGTCACAGGCGATGCCAGACCTACTGGTCTGTGTACTACACTTTGAGTAGTAAGGTTCTACTAGACTGTTCTCTGGAGATAAGATGTAAGTTAG